ATGGTGCTGAAGGAAGAAGTTCAAGTGGCACTGAGTGCATTAGCCAAAAAGCAAGGCTTCAGGAATGGATGGAATACCAATTGAAATGCCAGTACATTTGGAAAACAACTATTGGGCCAACTGATTGGAAGAGATCCATTTGTGCCCATTCCAATGAAAAGTGACCCAGCAGAATACTCAAACTATAGAACAATATCTTGATATCACATGCAAGTAAGATTTTACCAAAGATCATCCAAAAACAATTGCAGCAGTACATTGACAGGGAACTGTCAGAAGTTCAGGCCACATTTAGAAGTGGACTTGGAACAAGGATTATCATTGCTGATGTCAGGTAGATCTTGGATCAAAGCAGAGAATACCAGAAAGATATTGTTTTATTGACTATGCAAAGGCACTTGACTGCCTGGATTATAACAAACTATGGATACACTTGAGAAGAGAAATTCCTGAGCACTTCACTGTGCTCATGAAGAACTTGTCTATGGATCAAGAGGCAGTTATGCGAACAGGACAAAGGCATATTGTACAGTGTAAACTCGGGAAAGGTGTGGGTCAGGGCTGTGTCCTCTCATCATCCTTGTTCAATCTGCGTGCTGAACAAAACATCAGAGAAGCTGGACTATATGAAGATGACTGTGGCATCAGGATTGGAGGAAGTCTAATTAACCACCTTTGGGATGCAAATGATACCACCTTGCATGCTGAAAATGAGGAGGACTTGAAATACTTGCTGCAGAAGGTCAAGGATTGCAGCCTTCAATATGGATTACAACTCACTGTAAAGACCAGAATGCTTACCACTGTACCAATAGGTAACATCATGATAAACAGAGAAAGGTTGACGTTGCCAATAGGTAACATCATGATAAACGAGAAAGGTTGACGTTGCCAAGGCTTTTGTCTTGGAAGCAGCAGTCAAGAGATCAAAAGGTATGTTGCATTAGGTAAATATACTGCACAAGACCTTTTTCAGAGTATTGAAAAGCAAGAATGTAACTTTAAGGACTATGACGTGCCTGACCAAGCCATTGTATTTTCCATTGCTTCATATGCATGTGAAAGTTGGATACTGAATAAGGAAGACAGAAGAATCTATGCACTTGAATTGTGGTGCTGGAGAAGAATATTCAAAGTACCATGCGTGGACTCCTAAGAAGACAGACTGTTAAGTGCTGCAAGTAATGCCAGAGTGCTTATAGAGGCAAGTATAGCAGACTTTGTCTTACATACTTTGGACATATTGTGAGGAGATATTAGTCCCTTGGAGAAGGCCATCATGCTTGCTAAAGTGGAGGGGCAGCAGAAAAGAGGAATGTCCTCAGAGATGGACGGACACAGTGGCTGCAACAATGGGCCCAGTCACAGGAACAACTGTGAGGATGATGCAGGACCATGTAATGTTTCCTTCTGTTGTACACAGGGTTGCTATGGATCATAAGCCACTCAAATGGCACCTAATACAACAAGGGGGGAAATGGAACAAGATAAACAGAGACTAGCAGTGCTGTGGGCCAGGGAATAGATTTAAATAGGTTGGTCAGAGGTGGCCTATTGAGAAAGTTAACATTTGAGAAGATTTGAAGGAGAGACTCATGCAAATATCAGGGAGTAGAGCTTTCAGATAGGAAACAGCAGGTATAAAAGGCCTTAAAATAAGTTTTAAGGAACAACAACGAGGGCATTGTGCTTAGAGGAGAGTAAGCAAATAACAAGGTAGGGGTAATGAGGCAGGTTGGTGCTGGGTTCCATAGGATTAAAAAAATTTTTTTTGGATCATTTTATTAGGGGTTCATACAACTCTTATCACAATCCATA